GGTCACTCTGTTTCGACCCCCACCCCTACCCCTTGGTACCCAGCAGCTGGAATCATCTGACAGAGCCCTATAGGAAGTGTTGTCCTTGTGGCCCCATCTGCTATTTGCCGCTTCACTCTCTCCAGCTGAGCCGCACTGGCCTCTGGGCTGGTGAACATGTTTAGACCCAACTCCACCCCTGTCCCCCCCTCACCCTCACCCCCACTCCCGGGACTTCCCACCTGCTCCCTGCCTGGAGTGCCCCACCAGCGCTCTGCCACTCGCATGTCTTCTCCAATGTCACTTCTCTCAGGTTTTCTCTGGGCGACATCTGTATGACAGCTGCCCCCTTTCTGGTCCCCTTCTCAGTGCCCACTACGCAGAGACTAGTTGACTGAGAAAACGAGCTGCTGATCATGCCCCATTACTGTAGGTTGAACGCCAGGGTGCACTGGGGGAAGATGAGAGTTGCAAAGTTTTGCACTCGTTTTGGCTACTGATGGCAGTCACCTGGCCGAGTGAGTGTGACCAGAAAAGGCCCCGATCTTACAGCGGCAAACATTGGGAATGAATGAGCCTTCTTGGTGATGACTTCTTCCACTTCCTGCCCTGTACCGAGTGGTTCGGTTATAGTGGGAGGAAGAGGAAGGAGGAAGAAAGAGCCTGGCTGATAGTAGGCATAGAAGCACTGTGTCAGATGACAGCCTGGGGACAGATTCCGAGCGCTCTTTCTCAAGCCGTTATGACGGAAATGAAGCTGATGGGCTCTGGGAAGCTGGAAGGTGCACCAGGAGTTGGCTCCAGTGGTGACAGCAGTACTGGTGTCCAAGGCGCGGTGATGAACTGAGAAGCTGTTCCTTCACCACAGTGATCAGATGCCTTGGACAGAGCCCGGAGGGGCTGGGTGGTTCTGATTCATTCTGTTTTTAATTCAATAGTGGACTCTTAATGACCCAAACACAATTCACTGGAGGCACAAGGAGACCCCTGGAAGATGTGTCCATTCGTATGCCAAGGATGAGAGGCTGTATTCCGTCACCCCTTTAGATGTTTGATGAGTCTGAACCAACATCCTTTTATGAGATTATTTAGAGAAAATAAATAGTAAAGACAATAAACCCTTTGTGATAGCAAAAAAAATGTGTATAGGAAGTGCAACAATTCTGGATTAATTTTCATATATGACTTTAAATATGTATAACTACCTTGGCAAATATAACAAGATGTTGTTTGGCTATTTCATCTATACTTGTACAAGTTTACAAATTCTAGCCATTCTTTTTGGGTCTGTGCTCTGGGGAATTACTTGTCTGCTTTTAGGGCACATGGGGACCCTCTTGTTCTGGGACTCCAGAGGGGGGCACTCTTGTAGTTGAATGGGGCAGATGGGCAGCTCGCTCCCCACCCCTCAAAGTATTTGTCGGAGTGGAGGGTGCCTGAGGGGCATTGTGTCTGATGTCTTTTTCCAGATTTTGGGGGCAACATCAACGTGGAGACCATCAGTGCCTTTATTGATGGGGGAGGCAGTGTCCTGGTGGCTGCCAGCTCAGACATCGGTAAGTCTGTCCCGGGAAGTCCCGGCGTTGTCCATCAGTTCTCCTGGCAGTTTGGAGAGCTTCTCCCAATGGGCGGCCGTGCTCCTCCTGTGATTCGAGAGCGGGAGCCAGGCAGGCTGGCCTTCTGGAGGCCTGGTTTGGGTGGTGGTGTCATGGCTTAGGCGCTGGGCTGCTAGCCTGGTGGTCGGCAGGTCAACTCTCCAGCCGCTCCTCTGGAGAAAGATGAGGCTGTGTGTGCCCATAAAGTGTATAGCCTTGGAAACTTCTCTGCGCGCTGGGGCGGTTGGTTGTGGGGTGGTTCCCTGGCAAGAAAGAAGGCAAGCCGTGGGAGGAGGATGAGAGGGCACCCGGAACCTTCATTTGAGAGAGAATTGTTTTGCTTTCTATTTTAGAAAATTTCAGACGTCCCAGCCCCTACCTTCAATAATTAGCAACACCTGACCAACCTTGGTCCGCATTTCTCAATATTGACAAGAGTTTTTTGAGGGAAAACTCTTATTCCTCATGATGGAAGGGTTTCTTCTGGGGGCTGGTGATGATAAAGAAACTTCGTGAACCCAGGCCCATCCCTGTCAGGCTTGGCTTTCCTGGAAGCTTCGGAGCAGACCTGAGACCTGTGTGTTTTGGAAGGAGAGAGCCAGGTGCTTGTCCTTGCTCCATCAGTTCTACTCTGACTCTGGAGGCAAGGCCCACGCTGTTCTCCAGAGGTCAGGCTGAGGGCTGCCAGGCTCTGGGGCTGACCAGGAGAGAGTCCCGAGGCCACAGGGCGTACGGCAGGGTCAGGGCTCAGGCAGACCTCTCTCGGGGTTGTGCAGGCGACCCTCTCCGAGAGCTGGGCAGTGAGTGTGGGATCGAGTTCGACGAGGAGAAGACAGCTGTCATTGACCATCACAACTACGACATCTCAGACCTTGGCCAGGTAAGCAGCCTCCTCTTTCTACCTCCTGGCTCCAGCCATGACAGCTTGGCTCAGAGATTATGAGGGAGCCAGGATGCCCAGGCTCAAGGCACCTAGTCCTGACTGCCCACCGTCCTCTCCGTAGCACACGCTAATTGTGGCCGACACGGAGAACCTGCTGAAGGCCCCGACCATTGTTGGGAAGTCGCCCCTGAATCCCATCCTCTTCCGGGGCGTTGGGTGAGTGAGCAGGGAGAGCTGCAGGAGCCTGGGGAGTGAATGCTTGGCACCGGGATGACGTGGGGCATTCTCCCCCGGAGGCT